ACCGAATAAGATCTGGAGTGCAACACTGGTGGGGGCTTCGCTGTTACTCGGCATCTTCGCTTGGATAGAAGTGCAGATCAACTAGGACGTGATTGGTCGGTCGCTCTCTGCGTCGCGTTTGGAGGTTTGCGAATAGGGTGGGTAGGAAAACACGGACTGAAAAGCAGTAAAAAGTAGTAGGAACTGCTCGTAATAACGGAGTTGTGTTTATAATCATATTCGCGAGAGATAGTTGGAAAGACCTTGCACTATTTGAAGTCTACGAAAAAAACACATGTGTTGTAAATACGGGGGGCGGTCGCTCGAAATTGACTAGTATGACTTACAGATGCACACATGGGAAATAGAAATGTGGAAGTTGACATGGGTTCCAATAGGCCTAGAATGATCTACAGATGCACACATGGGAAATAGAAATGTGGAAGTTGACATGGGTTCTAATAGGCCTAAAATGACTTACATGTCCACCTTTGGGAAATGTGGAAATCGACATGAGTTCTAACAGGCCTGGAATGACTTTCACGCGTACCTTTGGGAAATGTGGAAGTCGATTTGAGCTCTAATAGACCTGGATGCCGATTTTGTCGAAGTACGGCAGATAACGTAGGGGAACAATCTTGGAAACTGGGTTGGGCATAGGCAAGTACCGATTCTATAGTCATCGTACTTCCGGCTGCTACGGTTAAAGAACGTGACATAGACTTTAGACACAAATTCCTCCCTTAGTTAGGTTCGTGCAAACAACGAAAACACAAGTCGAGCATAACTACTGGGTAGTGTCTCGCCCGCTGTTGGAGAACGCAGACTCGGTAGTTTTCGAGTCTTAGGCCTGCGGCATGAAACGAGGATAATGCCGCTGCCTTCTCCTCTATTGCTTCCACAGCCTTCTATCCCCCGCGATGCAGCGCCTACCTCAGACACCGATCGTATTGTGAGACACAGCGCATGGGTACGACGAGCTTCTCTAACCAGGTGGATAAGACATTACTGACTATCGCGCTTCTCCGTGATAAACTCCTATGAGTGCTCGTGAATTACCTGGCATGTATGAGCTTCCGGTAGCAGTTACGGGGCGGGACTGCTCAGACCGGTCACTTCACAGCGGCGGGGTGACGGTGGTGGCTGTGCAATGTCAGCCAGCGGACTCAGCCCCCTAGCAAAAGATTCCCTCAAAAGGAAAAACACACTGATACGGCTTTATCTGCTATCAATTAATGCCTGAGAAACGAAACGTCGTAACGTGCGATGATGGGATATGAGATTGGCGAAATACGCAGAAAAGCCGCCAGGCTACTCGAGTATCTTCAGGTAAAGCTGGCTGTGTACGATATCAAGGCATTTAGCCATGTGTGTTTTACAAATTTCCGACATCTTCTACCGAATTTTCAGGAATCAGCACAGTGCAGTAATCGTAGGTTTTTGAACCCTCTAGCCCTTCGTGCTGCTGCAGACGGCGTTTACATTCCCAACATGCCATTAGACACACACGAAAAGCCCTCCAATCCACCACTTCGTACCATTGCTTGTTGTTAGCTGCTGATTCGAGTTTGTCCTGCATCATCCGCAGAGGCTTCGTAGTAGAGCGACAAGGACAATCTGGGCTGCAATTCGAAGATAGCGTCGTCTCGATATCCTCGGCTAGACTCTATCCCGGCTACGGCTTCAATATCAACCTGAGGGCCTAATGAGATCAGCTATGTTGGTATATCTACCGGTTTTGAATAGACATACTACCACGAGACCATGCCATTAAGAGGCCTCGACAAGCTGAGCAGAAGACCGAGTCTCTGACGTGAAATCCGGCAATCGTGACGATAATGGTGAAGATGCCGAAGGTTACTATAAGGGCCGTGTTGGTGGTATCGTTCGTATCGGACATGGTACAGATGGTTATAATGGAATTGAGGACCAAAGTATGTATTGACGCAATGGCCTCAACCAAAGCCTGGTAAAAGCTGCTTGATGTTCATTGTGTGCGGGTGTGCCCTCTGATTTATGTCTCTATGTGAGCCCACAATATTTGGCGTCGGTAGGCAGTTGACCCTTTGCTGCGATTACCGTACCTGCGATTACCGTAGCTGTGAATATGACGGTTTGAGTCTGGATTAGGATGCGATGCACTGGCTGCGACCAAGTCCTTTCGTTGGGCGTGGGCTCGTTCGCTTCATTGTTCGCCTCGAAAGCCCAATCACCGCCATTGGGCAGCGACTAAGACAGAATGGCGCAACATCTTACAACACTATCCAAATGCCATCATGAAGTAGTGTTGCCTTTGGTAAACCTTTTCTTCTCACTTGAACAGCAATGTTGGCATGCGAAAGCAACAACATTGGCCGCCACGCTCATAAATGACTTCGACAGATCCCAGGCCCACCCAAAGCGACAGCCGCCCAAGCAATCGCTTACCATGGTTCATGCGTTCTTGTCTAATAGATGGTAAGTGGAAAATCCTGGCGTTGAGAGTAAAAGAGTAAAAACATTAGTAACAAAGAAGCATTTCCAAGTGGAATCCTAAGGAAGACATATACCGTAGCACAGGACGTTTTCAGCGTGAACACTGATTTTATAGCGAGAGCCCAAAATGCGCAACACTTGGACGTGTCCATTCCTATCGTATGCAGTTGCCGTTCAAATGGGAAATGGTGGTAGATCGGTGGTGTCAATTCCAGTCGAGTCTCCCGCAATGAGACGATGCAAGAAATGAGAGAAAAAAGACAGACAGAAAAACACTTATGCAGTGCGTTTTTGGGGGGTCGGAGAGGAGCGGGACAGCTGTCCAGGTAATGATGATTAGAAGCGTCGCGATCTCCAGTTCAGGCGTCCCTGCCAAGCTTGGGGTTCTGCCACTGGGGCCCGCCCAGTGACAGCATAGCTCCCCAACTTCCACAACATCCCCGCAAGTTTCCGCTACATTTGCGTCTCCCCCGTGAAGCCACCTGTTTTTGTTCTATATATCTCTGAGCTACCCACCGACGTAGTTTGCGCGCATAACGACACAGCTGCGCCACTACAATGGCTTCGCGACTGGTGCTGGTCCTAGGCGACCTCTTCATACCAGACCGAGCTTCAGTACGTTCCCACAACGAATCTTCACGATGCTAGACCTCACAAACTTACAGGCTGCATAGGACATACCAGCCAAGGTACGCTTTACCCCACCTCTACCACGTTCACCATCCGTCACCACCCACTACAACCGCACCCCGTCTCTCATAGACCCACACGCGCATGCGCTTACACGTCGATATAGTTCAAGAAACTCCTCGCACCCGGAAAGATCGGCCAGATTCTTTGCCTAGGCAACATAACGGATCGCGAAACGTACGAGTTCCTGCGCGCCATTGCACCCGACCTACAGATTGTAAAAGGCGACTTCGATGTTGAAGCACCTAATCTCGCCTTATCGAAAGTCGTTACACACGGAAGTCTGCGCATAGGCTTTACACATGGCCACACCATCATACCACCGGGCGACGGCGACAGTCTGCTGATAGCGGCGCGGCAGATGGACGTCGATGTCTTGCTATGGGGCGGCACACACAAGTTCGAGGCGTATGAGATGGAAGGCAAGTTCTTTGTCAACCCAGGGAGTGCGACAGGCGCCATGAGCACGGGGTGGTGGACAGAGGACGAAGATCCCACGCCGAGTTTTGTGTTGATGGATGTGAGTTTACCCAGGTGTTACACAAGGAACAGCAATCAGCAGCAGAGTGGAGAGGGATACCAGGCTAACACGAACCTAGGTCCAAGGCGACGTCCTCGTACTCTACGTCTACCAACTACGCAAAGACGGCGAAGGCAACGAAAACGTCGCAGTGGAGAAAGTCTCGTTCCGGAAAAACGGCGGCGGCGCATCATAGACTGAGGGTGTTACAAGCCAGCGGCTGTCGACGGCTCAAGGCCGGATGGGCGCATGAACAGAGCGGGTTGTGCAAACACCTAGCATGCTTTGTGCATGCGTGCACAACGAGGAATAGAAGCAGTACACAACATATACGCAATGACCATGGACCCCCTCCCCTCTCCTACTAGCAACCAGCGCCGATCCAGTTGGGCGTCGGACTTGATTCCGCTGTAGCACCGCCTATATACCAAGGATGTCGTGTAATAAACCCCATTCATGTACATGCTATCCGTTATGGCTAGTAGTTACGCAGATCCCACAACGAAAAAGAGACCCGCAATCATGCATGATATATTTCAGGCATATTCCGTGTTCTCCCTACATATGACCATACCATACCATGCTGTTGTACAACCCCTGAGAAGCCAGATGATTGAGCACCCACCCGAACCCCCGATGTCTTGCTCACCTGAGACTCATGTCATCATGTCGTCGTTGCCGCTGCTGACACTCCGCTTTTTTCCTCTTTTCACGTCGTGGCTTACCCCACATTTTTGTATTCCCGTGGCATGTCACTTGCCTAGGTACTGTCCGGTGAGGCTATCTTTTCGCTTTTGTGTAACGCTACACGGCGCCTTTTCAAGCTTTGGAGTCTGACACCCGAAGCCCGGGCCTGAATCTTGAGGCTGGATGGTCGTGTTCGGGACGAGCGATGTGCCGGTGAGAGAGGGTTGCCGATGTGGGAGTGCCGGTGTGGTGCGGGAGTGGCATGATGGTCACCCGAAACCCCACGCAATCGGTACTGTGGAGCTGGTACATGAGACACTGAGACACTGAGATATTATGTTGTAGCGTGATATATAGTGTCCCTGTATGATAGTGTGACTTTCGCGGTATACCTTTGGAGGGTAGTATGCCCTGACACGTCTATCCTGAATGTACAACAGCTTGTGATCTGATGTATGTCGATTACTAGTCCCATCTATGGGTAGTCTCTGGTATGCTATCAAGGAGTAGTATACCACCGCACCGAAACTAACTCTAAAACCATTCGTTCAACATCCAGTGTGTAGTGAGTTTGGTTCAACCATGATGTTGTATCGTAGTCCCGCATCCAACTCCCTTCAACCCAGCATCCCCATCCCCACGCACCAGCTCACCCCTCCCTCTTCTTCAAGACCTCCATAACCGCCCTCCCCACCTCCTCAAACAACCCAGGCATACAAGCAATCATACCCCAGTTCCTCTCTCCGGTAATCTTCCTTCCATTCGCAAAATCAATCTGTTCACCCTTGAAATCGCTGATAACGCCGCCCGCTTCCTGGAAAAGAAGGTGCCCACCGGCGTGATCCCAGATATACGTAAAGCGGTCTTTAGTCTTTGGGATGCGCACCATGACATCCGCAGCTCCAAGGGTAAGAGCCACGTATTTCATCTGCTGAGACCAGAGAATGGTGCCTGGCCATTGCGCACCAAGAGTGGTGGCAACGGCGTTGTGTTCGGACTGGGAGAGAGATGTCTTGCCTAGTGTTGCTTCGACAAAGTTTAGTTCCGAGGTTTTCTTTTGAGGAAGCGTGGTCCGGTCTACATGGCGGGGTTCTCCGAATCCAGCGGAAAGGGTACTGTTCATGGAGCGGATAAAGGTGCCTTGGCCCTTGACGGCGGAGAGTATGACGCCAAAGCCATCTTTGTCGACTTGGTCCTCGTGGATCGCTGTTTGGCCCAGTTCCCCTTGGACAGGGAAAGCGAGGTTGGGACACGCAATGACACCGACTTGCTGTACGCCATCGACGAGCAAACACAGACAAACAGCGTACTGCTGGCCCTGCATAAACGTTGCTGTGCCATCCACGGGGTCCATGACCCATGTTCGGCCTCTTCTGGTGATTTCCCCTTTCCCACCCCTATCGATGAGCTCGAACATCTCTTCTTTACTTTTCGGGAAAGCCAGCTCCTCCTTCTGGACAGCGTTTCCGTCCCCCTTCTCGTTCTCGGAGCTGCCTGCATGAGTCTCGTCCTTTGCCTGTTGCACGAGCTGCCAGACGCGGTCAGCGAGTGTCTCGTTTTGACGCAATGCATCTGCGCTTTCCTCGCCCAGAAACGCGTCTGTTGGGTACACGGCACGCAGGGCGGATATGAGGAGGGCTTGAGCGGCGAAGTCCGCAATGGTCACGGGACTGTCATCTGCCTTTGTCTCCGCAGACACGTTGTTGGATAGGCTCCGGAGAACGGATTTGGTGAGCAATGACGCCCGGTGTACGGCTTGCAGAGCGAGGCGAAGCTCGGCGGAGTAGGCCATGACGGATATCGGGTGATTTTTTGGTCGCGATTGCGTGATGGATGTTGTACTGTAGTTGTCTTCTGGTGAAGATTTCGCAGTATTAGTCTAAATGAGGTGATGAAACAGTTTTGGCAAGCTACTAGCAAGCGCATAGTAAGCGAGGCTAATGGAGCGCTCCAACGCGCATTGCCTTTGCAGTACCATGGCTACAAACATGAGGCTCGACGATGTCGCCAACGTCGACAGGCTATAGAGAAGTCTGGAGTCTTCCCCAGGCGGCGCAACACATGTAAGAGTCATTCGTGGCTGAATGTGAACGGCACACACGACGAGGCTCGAGTCATGCCGCTAGCTCGGTTCCGGTTGATTTGAGAGCACGGAAACCTGGCGGTCCGACCCAAACCTTGATGAAGCTGGTTTGTTCTAGCTCATATCTAGGCGAACTGTACCCCAAGCTCGTCACTGTATTTTGGTTTATAGGCAAGAGCCATCGTCTGTCTTAGAGTTAGACTACAGTTTGGGAATCACGAGTGCGGCGTCGCGCATCACCAGACACATGGAAACTTTGGTAGGTTTGACGGCGCCACTCCGACTCCTCCCGCAAAGGGAGGCCCTTCCAGTACCAGCGACGGGCAACCGCCGGGAAACACACATCGTTGGGAAAAGCCCACTCGCGGTCGACCCGCCAACAAAACGGGCCGATGTCTCGGGAGAGTGCCAAACTCGGGAGATAACCACCAGGTTCAAGCGAGCAACGAGGCGAGGCTGCTCGTTATTGAATCTAGAGTCGGTCGGTGCTCCGTGCCGCGTTCACGATAGATTAATGGCGCCTGTCGTCGAGTTACACAGCGTGTATTCGCCTGTTGCTCGAGAGAGGTTGCCTGCTAGATGTGCAGGTCGCGTCTCGCAAGGTCCTTCGAGTGGTCTGGGGTTCTGCATCCCGAAGGTCCCCATAGTGTTGCAGATGTTGGCAATGATGGGGGACAGGTACATGAGACGCACGAATATTGGACAAGCCGCGTCCTGCATCATCTTGCAGCTGGGGCGCGTAAACGATGCACAGCATAGTCATTGGGGAATCGAGTGGTGCTATACTCTAGCATATATGAAGTCTGGATGCCTTCGATGCATTACGTTGTGCTATATCGTTGATCAACGCTGCTGCTACCTGGGGAGTGCATCGTCGATGCATACTTGTTGAGGATTATGTGCAACGCTGTATTGTTTATTGAGGCTGACAGCCGTTTCGAGGGCAAAGCGATGCAGCGCATGGCCCGCTCCCTGGCAATGTCGCCATCTTTCGCAATCACAAAGTGCGTGCGGTTACTGTGGGGAAGGGCATCTTTCACGGGCCACATCTGTTTTTGGGTGCCGCATTGGTCGCGCTGCTGTAGTTGCACCCGTGATTGCATTATCATGAATCGCGCGTCATGGTAAAGGAGGCACACTAGAGAAGTTGAATTTCAAGGGACCTCGTTAACCGCGAGGATCTTGCGATAAGGCCAAACCGTTCCTGCAGAAAGCCTGTAAGTATCAAGGAGTTCGCTTGGTGGCTTGTCTAGGGCATGTCGTACAGGAACCTTGGAAAAAGCAGCGTGGGGGCTGTCTCTCTGGCAGGTCATGCAGGCTGCTCGTGTTGGAGCACGTCGGCCAAGTGACTTGCAGCTGGGGGCGGCTTCGTCATTCGTCCGTCTGGACATGGACACTGTGAAGGCTGCAGCCACTTGCAGGACGTATGCTTTGGTAGGAGTGCGGTTGCCTGCACCGAGCGTCTTATCTCGCTTGGTGTGAGTTGGAGAAGCTGGAAGAGTGTTGCTCTGCACACTGCACAGATTGCGCAAGCCATGAGCAGTTAGACGAACAAGCGAACATGCGTTCCTACTACCGTTTGATACTCATTTCGCCTTCGCCGGCCCCCGATGGGGGCAGCAAGCCATGACCATGAGTCCAGGTCGGTCTGCTCCTGACTTTTTAGGGAAAAGAGGCTTGAGGCGCTCAGCAAGAAGCGAGGCGTCAAGGTCCTCCAGGCGCCTGTCTGGACAGCGGAATAGGCATAGAGCCGCGCGGAAATTGAAGAGGAGTCGTGTTGAGGAATTGTGAAAGGGCTCAGCAGGCGGCAGTTCTGAGGGTGGTGTGTCGTGCATAGTGTTGAAGATCGCCGCTGCAACCCGTAGCCGTACTCCCGTATGTGGAAGAGAGTGGTTTGCAGGCCAAAGATAACGTCTTGAATCAAGGCTGTTCGTGATTAGGCATGCGGGTGCAGAACGAGACACTTGGTCGGAACTAGCTGCATAGTCAAGACGAGGTGGGTGCGGTTTCTGTCCGTCGCCACGAGGATCAGTATGGTTCCTCAGCACTCCGTGTGCCAGATGGACGGCTTACGGAAGGCGGCTGGCTTGGAGGAAGAATTTGACTTGGTGCAGGGCTGAGGGTGAGACAGAAAGCTAGCGCGTGCAAATAATGGCTCTGGGGAGGCGTGTGTTATCACCGAAGATAGCGAAAAGCGGGCCTAACGCTGGGGCAGGCGATTCGGCTATGGGAGTGGACGGCAGCATGGGATTGGAGAGGGAGTGGGAGAGGACATGGGAGGGCGCTCATGACTGCTGAAACCGATAACTGGCCCGCCGCCATATGGCTGCAAGAGGAAGCCTCGTACCTAGATTTGCACGTCAGTCATCTGCGCGTCCGGCGCAGGGCCGGGCAGATGACTAGCGAGGGGATTCCGTCATGGAGCGACGTTTTCGCGTCGCGCTGCTATCACGCAACTCGGGCGGAGGTGGAGGGTGGTGTCACCAGATGGCGCGACTATCACTGCTCACTACGCAAGCCGGCTGCTCTTGCCCCCGCGGCCGAAAATTCTACGCTCTGCTGGCTGCAGCATCGAGCAGCTCACAGCGCCGTGAGGGCCGTCGTTCGCTGCGGCAGAGCGAATGGCGGCAGCACAGCACCGTGGTGGCCCAAGCAGCGTGCAGAGCGTGCAGCTGGCGAGGGATGGCACTGGACCTGTTCGGCGGAGGCGCTAGGGAGTGCATGGGTGCGTGGTGCAGGTGGTGGTGCTGAGGGGTGCGGGCTTACAGCGCTTCGAACAAATATCAGTATTGTGGAGAGGCGACAGGGGTGCGTCTCCCGTGGACCCTGCAACCCAAGCCTGCTAGGGTGGTCGGTGGTCAGCCGTGAAGTGCCTGAGCGCGACTTAAGTATATGGGGCTCATCCTCCCGCTGCTCCACACGGTCCTGCCGCTCACCAACTTAACTACCTCATGACTCCCACTTGAGACCCCTTCATAACCCAGTCGTCCCGCTTGAGTCCAACTACATTGACTACACTCACCCATCCAACACTCTACCCCGATATCATCTCGTCGGCGGCTATACCATCACCACCACCACCACTACTTCACCAACACATACTACACACCTCGCAATGGCTTCCCAGATGGAGTGCTTCAACGACTTCTGCCTGTCCTGCGACCGCCAAATCGCGGAAAACGGCGTCTACTGCTCCCAATCGTGCCGCCTAGTCGACATGGAGCGAGCCGGCAGCACAGCACAAGCACCCTCGCAACTGTCATCATCCGCTTCCTCCTCGTCCTCGTCCAACAACGGCTTCTACCTCGCCCCCGCAATCAACTTCTCCGCATACAAGGGAGCCTCGAGTTCACAAGTGCCACCAGCGAGCCCGTACCACTACTACCCCACCGCAAATGGCAGCTACTTCGCACCACCAACCGCAACGAGGCCCTCCCCACAGCGCAGCCTGACGCCCTCGTCGTCACGATCATCTCTAGCCTCGCAATCTTCCCAGTCCCAGTCCGGCATCTCGCAACAAGCGGCAACCCAACTCAACAGCTACATGCGCTCCTTTGACCAAACACGCGACGTCAAGAGGCGGTACACGCAGTACTAGACTTGCTAAGTCCGCTGCTTTTGGAGTTTGGTTTCACGACAATTACGACACCCGACCAAGACGTCTTGTCTTTCTTTCGGTTTCTCTCTGTTCTCTTGTATTTTGCATCAGTCTCGGACCTAGGGGGTTGAGACTGGCATGGGTCCACGGAGTACACCTGCATATCCACCACCGTTGCGCTGCGTTCTAGTTCTGTACCCTTTCCTTTGTTGTCATACGTGGACGCAGTGTACGATTAAAAGTATTTATATATCCCCTTGGTGTATAGGGGTCTTTGTTACGAGCATCTAGCCCCGGCGTGGGTGGGTGACTGGGGTCACTCTGCACATGCGATTGCATCACGGCCACTGTGGCCAGGACAGTTGGGAATTCCTCTCACTCGGCCGGCGTTGAATGTCGCGCCTGTTTTCCGCTCTAGCTATAGCGTAGTAGTAGCTGTCTCAAATGGACGCAACGGCCATGGGCATAGACTCATGGCGACAAGACACAAACTTTTTGCCTCTGCTCCACTTGTTCTCGGTGATACTCAGATGACAGCCTCGCGCAACCGCCTGTCCAACCCCATCCTGTCTCACTATCGACGCAGATCGCGCCAACCCCTCACCAACACGTGACGGGCACCCTTTGGCACAGTGTTTGGCTCGAGATAAGCACAAGCCTCTCAGACGTGCACAGATGAGACACGGCCGGGCCCAGTGCTGCGTCTCTCGATATTCCCGTGGCGCTTTAGAGTTTGCATGTTGCGCAGTACGTGGTCAGCGTGCGAGGACGAGGCACGGCTGGCCTCTCCACCGGTATGCCTCTGGCAGTGCGACGCTCGCCAGGAAGAATTTTCACAGACTTCAGGCATGATCCAGATGTCAGCCACACTCAACAACGTTCGCAGCAAGTGATCGCTGGTGGCGATAAACACCGAGCAGACACACATGGACGCTGTTGAGAGGTCCACGGGTTCCAGCAGGCAGGAAGCACCCACTTGGTCGCAGCGCCCTTGCCTTGGGTATGGGCAGAGGGCCCTCCAGCACTTCAAACACCAACCTGCATGCCCACGGCCGCGTCCGGGGCGTGCCATTGGCGACTTGCGCTGCAGGTGGGCATGCTGAAGCTTGGC